TAAGAACTTGACAAAAATGACATAATTGTAGCTGCAAATTTTAAGTCTAAGCTAGAAGATTAAACCAGCAGTTAAATTGAATGAAACTAGCAGTAGCAATTAAATTGAAAGAGCAACTCCAAATGGTTTTTAAGCACGACACCAATCGAATTTCCAATACCCAACAATCTAAGGTTCAATCGTCTCACTTCTAAGATTTGATATATACACTTTCAGATTATAGCAGCAATAACACAATTTCAGTCCAAGGAATTAGAAATCACAAGTATATCCTCAATCAATTTTTTTCAACTTAAATCTCTCCTCATTTGCAAATGCACCACGTTTGGTTAGTTGTTAGATTTGGGGAAAAGGTTTTAATTTTAATCTGGGTTTGATTTTGACGAAAGTGGAGGAAGGGGAAAGGAAGAAGTGGGTGGGGGCAACAGGAAGTCAGGAACTAAGGGCTGAGAGAGATAGAAAAGAATTTAGGGAGGGTGGGGGGGGGGGGGGTAAGTATAGGGGGGGGGGGGTAGGGATATGATGATTAGAGACCGGGGTTAAGCGAGGGATTGGGGATTTTTCTTTTTCTTTTTAAGTTTTTACCGTATTTGCTTTTTTTTCTTTTCTTATTCAGATTTTAATTATTTTTAAATAAAATAACTTGGTCCACACGCTTTTTCAGCGTGATTAATGCACATCTTGATCATATTAGCTAGGTTTTTGCCACATAAGCATGGTCAATGGTCAGAGTGGTTTATTAACATGCAAATAGTTAAATTGAAAAGTTCAAATGAGAAAGTGTTTACCTCGAAAAATGTAAGTAACGATTAAAGATAATTTGTGGTTTTAAAGATATGTGGTATATTCTAATACTAGTGATTATATAAGTAATATTAAGCCTAAGTAAGAAGGAAAGTTGAACCAAATCAGTGTTGCTGGAGCAATAGGGGCCTCGAGCTTGGCTGTCCCAGGGACCTCGAGGTCAGCTAAGAACAATAAAGTATGAACAATAAAATAAAGACAATAAAGCTGAAGAATAATTGTTGAGCACGTTAAACGAGAAAGGCAAAGCAGAATGTTCTTATTGCAGAGAATAATATGAGATGATGCCTGCAAAAATGATTGTGGTCCCCTTTATATAGGAGGAGAAAACCCCAATATAGTACATTCTTAATTGTAGTAAAGAATTCTATTGGTATAGGTGTATAACAGCCTAGTACGGACCAGTACCATTTCGTACAAATCTTATCTTTTAATTTATCCCCTGGTCCACGTGTTCTTGAGGAATTCCCGCTCTTTCTTGATTAACTTCGAGATCGTGTTGCCCTCGATGTAGGTCGTGCCAGGCCTTCGATCAGCTTCCTCGAGGAGTGTCCCTTAGCCGGATCTGACCTCCACTTCGAGTCTCCCGGACTCGGACCTATAGCCTGATTTAAGACTTCAAAATCATGCTCCTCGATTTTGACCGTATACAGAAAATTGTAAGTTCTTTTACTGGGATGAGAAACAAGCATAAGTTTAGGGGGCCCGAAGGCCACTCTTCCAAAAAGAAGCGTAAATACTTTCCCGAGTGTTTACACCTAATTAAAAATTGTACCTTAAAATCAAAAAATGCTAAAGTATTAATAAGTGTTTATGCTAGATTTACGTCTATTATCCATTAACTTTGTATAAATACTTAATGCGAATAAATTTTTACTCTTTGGATAGGTTTTGTGACATTCTTCTAAACGAAACGGTGTCACGACCCAATTTTTCCTCCGTTGGGTTTCGTGATGGCACCTAGTCTTAAGGACTAGGTAAGCCTAATAATTGCGGAATAACAACAATAAATAATAACATCTAAAATTCTTCTGGAATAAATCCATTATACAATGAACATCTTTCCAAAACCCGGTAGTACAAGTCATAAGCTCTACAGAGTTTTTGCTACCATTTCTAAACACAACCGTATGGAAATAAGTACAACAGTGAGAATATAAAATAGGAAGGTGACTCTGAGGCCTGCGAAAGCAGCAGCAGGACTACCTTGAGTCTCCTCGGCAAGGATCCACACAGCTACTAGCAAACAATACCTGGATCTGCACAAAAAGATGTGCAGAAGTGTAGTATGAGCACACCACAGCGGTGCCCAGTAAGTATCAAGATTAACCTCGGTGGAGTAGTGACGAGGAACAGTCAAGATACCTACTGGTCAAATGAAATGAACAGGATATGATAATAAAAATATCGAGATAAAGATAACGAGGCAATATCAACGGCGGAGAGAAATCAATATATAACAGTAGGTACAATAAAGGGAGAACACGGGTAGTAACGAACGACACCAAGTAAATCAGATAACCAAGTAAATCAACACTAACATAACAGGAACAGAGACAAGTAAGAATGTATACAAATGAAGAAGGCAATACCAACTCAATCACTCACATCATGCCTAACACACAATCCCGACCATCTCAAAATCCTCGGTTTTTCATATCATAAACTCAACTTCCGAACCTTCAGCACACATGGCACCTTGTGCTCCCGTATTTCTCATCTCACTCTTAACAAAAGAAGTCCACATACTATACAATACATAATGTCCGCTCAAATGCACTCAAGATGTTTAAGAAGTCTCATTTACCTAATATAAGTAAATTTCAAATTCAAAACTAATTAGGGAAACCAGCGAGAAAAGATGAAGTTATTATAGAAAAATTATTTGAATAAAGAAAGTACCATTTTCAATTAGAATATACAACATCGAATGAATTATTACCTTTACCATGGGATTTAATAATTTACAGCATAGTAGAAATTCCTTTTAAGTAGAATACAACCTCAGACGATTTAAGAATAATTTAGTTGAGAAATAAATTGAGTCAAAAATGCAGAAATTATTGAAGTTTAAGATTTGAAATATATATATGTATATATATACGGCTAGGTATTTACAACACTATGGGTTCCAACACAAAGACTCACAACAGCAAGGGAATCTAACCCCTTAAAACACTTGAATTGATAACAACGATTACACACAGCAAGCAGAAAGTGCACGGCATCACCCTTTGTGCTTTTACACTCACAGAATATCGACGGGGGATCTCCCGTGATCCCGTCCCGTAGTCCCAAATGTAAATACTTGGGGGATCTCTCAGTATCCTCAGTATATGAGTTAGGGGATCTCTTAGTATCCCGGGGATCTCTTGGTATCCTCAATATATGTGCCGGGGGATCTCTTGGTATCCCGAGGATCTCTTGGTATCCTCAATATA